CAACGTTGGGACGGGGTTGACCATCGGATGGCATCAAATCTAACGGGTGCTGAGGCAGTGGATCTTTTTAGTTTATTCGTCGGCGGACCCATAGCACTGCCCGAAAAGGAAAACTACGAGTTTGCATTCATATATTGGACTTTACCGTCCAAATGTATCTACAAGGTAGAAAATGTTTCATTTACAAATGATGAAAACTATGATTTTGCATTCAAATATTGGACTTTCCCTTTGAAACTATGATTGTTACTTGGAGACACATCAATTTCTATGCAACGTGCATCACAAAATTTGTGAATATCTCTCACATTTTAACCACAACCTATAAAGGTCATACCAACACGCCATGCCAAGTTTAAATAGACTTCATCAACATTCTTCTAAAATTCGAAAACGCTAAGTTCTAAGTATACTTGTTTGAATTTTCCCATACAAATATCTAAGTTTTCCTAACATTCCTGCAGAGTACCTAACTAGATACTAAAGAACTTAAATATGATCTTTCTATCATTTTATTGGGTATCTTTAATGCACTTGTAGTTCGAATTTGAATTATAACTGTTATATACCTAAATAAATTTAATAACATAAAAATAACATATGAATCCTAAAAAACATACATGGCATTATTAATGATTTATATTAAATATAAAAAAGCCAATGACAAAGTTTTTACGATAACACTAAAACCCTAAAAATACACAAATACGACCATAAGACATACCAAATAATACTACTGGTGTTGTCTCTTTGGTGCACGCCACTGATAAGCCTCCTAAATACCGGTGGCGTCTGTACATTGTTGAATTGTTGGATTGTTGTCCAACCGCAACACCCATGTTGGACCTCATTGAGTTGTAGGAATATTGGAGGAAAAACATAGGAATAAGAGAAAAAAAATTATGATAACATTATTCATCCATTTGATTCAAAGGAATGAGCCATAGAAAGAAAAATTTAGGATCTTTCCCTTTGGTTTGGATTTCATAGGAGAAATGAAGGAATTTTACAATGCACTCAAACCTCCTTTTTAATTCATAGCACATTGAACAAGACAAATACCTTAAGAAAGTATAATATTATCCTAATTTTTTTGAGAGAGATTTGCAATCAATTCATCAACTATAATGGCAGCACAACAAACACCAGAAGTACTACAAAATACTATTGGTCCGTGGACCACCTAGCGACGACTATAAGCACTGAATCTAATTTTTTTAATAGGCACAGCACTGAATCTTGTCGGAGGCACGCCGCCCTTATCACCCCTCCCTCACCAAAGCTAGGTACACCTAATCTCTTATGAGCATATGTTTTTATCATTATTTGACTTGTCGTTTAGGATTCTCTTATTTTCCCTATTGTTGCAAATTGACCACACAATTCTACACATTCCCATGTTTTCACAGTTGTCTGTGTTAGCCATGCAATAATACCATATTTTTGTATTTTTTTCTATTCCCATGCTTTTTTGTAATCCTGTTAATAAAAAGGGCCCTTCATGTTTCAGCTTTGTTAGCCAGGAGGGCCTTCATTATGCTTGTTTTTTGTTTGATACATATATCTTTTAGGAAGATGGAAAAAAGAGGCGTGAAGTCGGCCGAAGGTAAACATTCAATTACGTGTCATCTAGTGCAAGAGTGGTGTCAAGAAAGTAGTTGTCGGCACGTTTAGCTTTTTCTTTTCCCTCTCGCAAGATGAATAGGGAAAGCCTTCTTCACTTCGATCTTCGTCGGTGAGTCCGTGAATTCGCCTTCCCTCTACCTGCTGCTCTGGCGTTCGGTGGCAGGGAGGGCATTCCCGGTCCCTCGGCTTAGATAGGTAGGGTTTTGGTTCTCGCAAGGGCGGCACTCGGATGGATGGCGGCGCTTCTTCTTCGAGTCACTTTTCGGGCTCCGATCCTCCTCAAGTTCGCTCGCTTGGACGGATTAGACGGAGCTCCGGCGTAGGTTCCTGCCAGCTCCTCGGAGCTGCGAGGTTAGTCTTTCTCATCGTGCGTACGCAACGGCTAGATTTGGTGTCAGGTTCTTCATATCGATTCAAGAATTCAATGGCGACGACTGCGGCTCCCGAACGCTGGTCCTTAGGGATACATGCGTGAAGACCTGCTAGTTGTCCTCGACAAGGTCAGATCGGCTCTGGTATGAGAGCGGCGACATCGGCGAAGCAACTCGTTTTGGTGACAGCAATGGTCGTATGGTTGTCCATGGATCTCGATGTAATTTTTATTATGTTTGGGTGCTTTGTACTTCCGTTGAATCTTTATATTTGATATGATATATTCGCAAAAAGTAGCCATCTTTTCGCCTGAAAAAAAGGTAAGCGTCGTTAGACTTTTTTTACAGCAAATATACTTTATTTCTCGTATAATAGTCATGTCGTTCACAAGTAAATGAGAAACAAAGTCAGGGATTACATCATCCCAAGACCCCGAAGATTTAGCAGTAAAAGAATGCTTAGCTAGCTCATCTGCTACCTGATGACTAGCTTCCCGAAAACAATGTTTAAATGATATTTTGGCAAAGGCCATCGCCAACTGCTTGCATTCAGAGACCAATGCAACGTCGGGTCCTAGATAAGAGTCCATTTGCTGAATTGTTTCCACCGCAAACGAGCAATTAGATTCAATCTCCACACTGTTGCACCCCAAACTTGCCAACAAGTATATTCCATTTCTAATTGCCATGAGCTCCGCTGAATCAACATCTCGGATATGTGGTACAAACCAAATCTCTGCTGCTAGAAAGTCACCTCGTTCATCACGTATGACAACACTGCAAGCTCCAGATAAAGTATCCACATGAAGTGATGCATCTACATTAATATTGACCAGTCTATGAGACAGTTTTTGCCACATATCTGACCTCGTGGGACTTTGTAATCTCGACCTCGTGGAAAAAATCTAAATTGGTTCCATTGCCCCTAATCGGTCGGCACATGGGAACATTTTGGTATTCGGCGGGTCGCCACTTTAGCTTCAATCCTCGTTGCGGCCGGCCGGGCCAACGTGCAAAGCCACTATGTGAGGTCGATCGACAGCCGTGGCTTTACGCCCACAAATCGGCTTTTGGCACCGATCGTGCGCGCGAGCTGTGAGCGCCGGCGACGCGGAAACTCCCCACGCCCGCGCACTCGCCGCGCCGAACCGCAACGTGCGTTCCCACCCTGCGCAACCGGCCGAACGCGTCCTGCTACTACGCACGCACACGCGCGCCCAACTCTTGCCCCCTGTATAGCGCAAGAGCGCGACCACCGAACCGACGGCGGGCCTGCTATATAAACCCCACGGCGCCCCATCCATCCCTCATTCCCTCGCATCCCACCTCGGCGCCCCCATATTGCTCACTCCCCTCCTCGCCGATTCTCCGATCTACTCGCAAGCTACAGCGCAAGGTCGTGATGGCTCCACGCGTCGCCGTGCTGCTCCTGGCCGTGGCCGTCTTCTTCGCCTCTGCCTCGGCACAGGACTTCATGGCGCCTTCCTCGGCCCCCGCTCCGGCCCCTGACGCCGGCGCGGCCGCCAGCGTGTCCGCTTTGGCCCTGGTCTCCTCGGCACTGGTGTCCCTTCTCGCGGCGGCGATGATGCAGTAGATGGATCGCTGCTGCTTCTGATTGGATGGCTGAGGGCAGAGAGTTTTTCCTTTGAGAAATAGGCGGTGGTTTGATGGGCATTGCTGGCTCTGGCCTCTTTTGTTTGTTCGGCATTCTTTTTCTATGATGTATTGTATGTCCATATTATGTGCCTTGTGAATAAAGCTTGTTGGTTGCTGTGACAATCTTGTGTGAAGACCTTTCTAGCAAAAAGAGCTTGATTATATGAGTATGCGTTTGAAAATTTTCTCTTTTTGGCAAGATCATAGTTCAGTTTTTTGCAATGAACAATGTCACAAGGATTGGCATATAGCGGCGCCGCGATGACTTGTTGCATCACTGATGGATGTGCCACATTTCCATCATCCGCTCCATGTGGCTGGACGCATCACGGCGATGTAGAGGTCGGGGCAATCCTTCTTTTCAGAAAAAAAAAATCATCCGCTCCGATAAATCTTGAAGTTATAATTTTGACCATATGTATTTCAACAGTTTGCCATATGGAGGTCGGGGGTATTAAAAGTTTCCAACTTCCATAATCCGGAAAGGATAAAAGTATGTGCGAAGCATTGTGGCTTGAACATCCGGTTCAAATCTTTCTCAGTTACCGGCTCGTTTGTTGAGATAGATTTTAGCGCTCGCGGAATCTTTGTGTGTTACCCAACTTCGCCGGCCGAGTCACGGAATCAATTGCGAACACTGTGCTGTCAGCCATTCATGACCCGAGAATGTTCACGAAGAAAAATGGCCAGCCTTCCACAATCTTCCGTGAAGAACTTTTTTTTAGGGTATCTTCCGTGAAGAACTAGCAAGTAGATCTCGTATGTCTCATATCCGGTTCATTCCAGGACGTAACAAACTGCAACAAGATCTTCTGAACAAACCAACGATTAATCTTCTTTCCGGTTCAAAGTAAGTAGTAGAACCTCCGATTCCCCGTTCATCGTCTGAAAACAGCGCGCCCCTGTGCCAATGAAGAAAGCAAAGCGCCGTTATTAAGCCCCACGCAGCACGACACAGCAACCGGTAATGTGCAAGCCAAGTCACCACCCTGCTCCAGCCTTCCACAAGGCGCGTGACCCCGCCCCGTCGGTGCGGTCGAGTCGGGCAACACGACTGCGCGTCACGTCCACCCTCCCCAAAGCCAGGGGCGCCCGCCCGCCCTCCCGCCCGAGCCATGGGCAGGGAGCCACGCGCTCGCGCCGAACCAAGCCAGCAATCCCACGCCGCACGACCGGCCGGGCGTGTCGTGCCGTGTGGGCAAGTTCGCGCCCGTTTCAGCACCCCCTGCCAGCAACCTGTAGCAGCTTGCTGTTATAAAGCCCACAGCAATCGTCCCTCAATTGCATTCCACGGCTCCACCGCAGCACAAATCTTGGGCTCGGAGCATCTCGCGAGGTTGTGAATTCATGGCTCCCCGGGTCGCCGTGCTGCTCGTGGCAGCGGTTGCGGCCTCTGCCCTCGCGTCCGCGTGGGCGCAGGACTTCATGGCGCCTTCGTCGGCGCCGGCTCCCGCCCCGGACACGGGCGGCGCGGCGACCGGCGCCGCTCCGGCCTCCGCCCTCGCCTTGGTGTCGTTCGCGCTGGTGTCCCTGCTGGGGGCGAGGCTGATGCAGTAGACGGCCATGTCGGCCGGCCTTCGCCGGCGTACCGATTTGGATCGGATGCCAATGACGGCTGCTTGTATATTTCTTTTGAGAGATTGGCGTCCCTTGTAGGCTGGTCTCGTGTGGGCATTCTCTTGTATCGTACTCCTACCATCTCTGATCTTTGTGAGACTGTGAATAAAGCTGGCTCGATTCTGTGTTCATCTTACAGTTCACTAGTTCAGTGTATGCTGAGTTTTCCTTCTTTTTCTTAGCAAAACAGTGTATGCTGATTTTTTTTGAGCGGTAACAGTGTATGCTGATGCCGGGGCGTCTCTGAAACGATATCTGTCGCTCTTTGCGAGCGTTACCACGTCGATCGCCTACAGGCGCGTCAAGCGGGCCGGCCACTGAGCGGGAGCCTTCGCAGCGCTTTTGGGAACTTTCCGGCTTTGTTTTTCTTCTCTGTGTTTTCTGCTCGGTTTTCTGGTTTTCTGTTTTTTCCTTGTTCCTTTTCTGTTTCTGTTTCTTTTTAATTTTCCTTTCTTAATTGTTTCTTCTTAAATCCATGACTATTTTTTTAAAACAATTTTTTACTGGTTTTTTGTTTCCTTTTCAGCTTTTTGTCTTTTTGTTTTTTGGTTTCATTTTTATTTTCTACTCTCTTTTTTCTCAAAATTTCACAAATTTCAAAAAGTCTCAAAACTAAAAAATAAATCTAGTTTTTTAAAAATATTTACGTCTTTAAAATATGTTTGTGTTTTATCAAAAAAGGTTCTGAATTTTAAAACTTGTTCACAATTTCAAGAAATGTTCACAAACGAGGAAAAAAAATCACATTTTCAAAAATTGACTGGGAAGTCAAAACTTGTTCACCGTGTATAAAAATGTTCAATGCATAACTGGAAATTGTTGTATATTTAAAAAGTCCATTGTATACAAATAAAATGTTCATCATATATCAAATAATTTTTTGAGTCTGTACTTTCTAAAATTGTTCATCTTATATTAAAAAAAGTCATTGTATATAAGTAAAAGGTTCATCATATATTAAATAAGTGTTCACTGTGTATTTCAAAATCGTTCAAAATTTCGAATTTGTGAACATTTAAAAATCATTTTTAAGACAAACGAAAAAAACACCTACGCTAGCTGGCTCTCGCTCATTGGTGCCACAATGCTCGCTCGCAGGCGCTTGCTCCAACTGACATTCAATGATCAATAGCGAACTATGAACATCCATATTGATGCCTATATCCACATGAATGATTATCGAGTGAACCTATAGCTACTATGTAACACCCTTGATGCGACTATAACTCCCATGTGTCGAGGCACGACTTAGAGACATAATCGCATTGACGACATATGTCGCAAGTTAGGCAATCTTCACAACATCCCATGTAATATAATAATGAAAGGGGAGATAACATAGTTGGCTTACACTCGCCACGTCAATCAAGTACATAAATAACATTACATCAACCAAACACTCATGGCCCGATTACGGCGCCAAAATAAAAGAGAACCCAACATGCGACAACGGTCCCGTTCACCCCCAACTAGGCACCACTACTGATCATCGGGAAAGGAAACATAGTAATGTTGAGAGTCTTCGTCGAACTCTCACTTGAGCTCATACGCGTCTCCTGGAGCGGAATCATCAGGCCCTGCATCTGGTGTGATAGTAATCTGTGAGCCACAGGGACTCAGCAATCTCGCACCCTCGCGATCAAGACTATTTAAGCTTATAGGTAAGGCAAGGTAAAAATATGAGAGGAGCTGCAGCAAGCGACTAGCAAGTATGGTGGCTAACTTATTCGCAAAAGAGAGCGAGAAGAGGAGGCAAAGCACGAGCGAGAAACTAAAGAGCAACCTGCGCAAACATTACTCCAACACCGTGTCCGCTTTCCGGACTCCGCCGAGAAGAGGCCATCACGGTAACACACTCAGTTGATTCATTTTAATTAAGTTACGGTTCAAGTTATCTACAACCGGACATTAACAAATTCCCATCTGCCCATAACCGCAGGCACGGTTTTCGAAAGTTCAAATCCCTGCAGGGGAGTCCCAACTTAGCCCATGACAAGCTCTCACGGTCAATGAAGGAATAGACCTCCTCCCAAGATGTTCCGATCAGACTCGGTATGTCGGTAACTCAAGACACTTCGACAGGTTAAAACAAGACCAACAACACCGCCCGAATGTGCCGACAAATCCCGATAGGAGCTGCACATATCTCTTTCTCAAGGCACACTCAGATGAGCGCTCCATACAACTAAAACCAAACCTCGAGTTTCCCCGAGGGGACGCTGCACAGGACTCTAGTTTGGACCAACACTCGGAGGAGCACTGGCCCGGGGGGGTTTAAAATAAGATGACCCTCGGGCTCCGGAAACCCAAGGGAAAAAGAGGCTAGGTGGAAAATGGTAAGACCAAGGTTGGGCACTGCTGGAAAAGCTTTAATCAAGGCGAACTATCAAGGGGTTCCCATTATAACCCAACCGCGTAAGGAACGCAAAAATTCGGGAACATAACACCGATATGACGGAAACTAGGGCGGCAAGAGTAGAACAAAACACTAGGCGAGAGGCCGAGCCTTCCACCCTTACCAAGTGTATAGATGCATTAAGATAACAAGATAATATAATGATATCCCAACAAGTAAATAAATGTTCCAACAAGGAACGACCTCCAATCTTCACCTGCAACTAGCAACGCTATAAGAGGGGCTGAGCAAAGCGGTAACATAACCAATCAACGGTTTGCTAGGACAAGGTGGGTTAGAGGTTTGACATGGCAAATTGGGAGGCTTGCAATCAAGTGGTAGGCATCGTAGCAATGGCATAGCAAAAGAGCGAGAAAACTAGCATAGCAAAGATAGTAGTGATTTCGAGGGTATGATCATCTTGCCTGCACAGTTGTCAGAGTTGACTGGATCCTCAAAAGCAAACTCAATGGGCTCCTCATTAGCGAACTCGTCTCCCGGCTCTACCCAAACAATACAAACAAGCAACAAGGATACAATCAACCACGTGCAAACTCAAACAACACAATACAAAGATGATATGCTATGCGGGATGCGATGCGGGATGCAAAATGCAAGATATGACAGGAAATGCATGAACCTGGCGTCAACTTGGAAATCCAAGTGTGCCACTAGAAAGATGAGACGAAATCGCTTGAAAATGATATAAAGAACGCCGGAATCGGAGTTACGATTTGGAAATGGCAAGCGATTCAAAAATGACACCGGTCTGCGATTTACAGCAAGTAGGCATCTAAATGCAATGAGATGAACATGTTACAGCACTCAAACGTGATAACAAAATACATGGAAGGGATGCATACAAAATGCTTAACAAAAGTCTAGCACTGAGCTACGGCCAATTCATCCATTAACAGGTTCAAACAAGCATGGCAAAAATGCATATGGCAAACAGATTTCAGACTTAGTGAAATCAACACTTGTCTGGAATTTCAGATCAGGTAGCTCTCTTCGGAGCAACAAAACTACATGCTACAGGATCTGATCATGGCAAAGTAAAGCATGGCATGGAGCTACTCAAAGAGCTTAACAAAATTCCCTTAGTGACCTTGAGCCCAAGGGGATCAGAAAATATACTAACAAGCACGTGAACATAGCAAAAACATAATCAGTTTTCGGACTTAGTGAAAACTGGCACATGCTGAAATATAACTCAAGTAGGCATGTTCACGAGCTCGATGCACTCACTATGGTGCAAGTCATGGCAAGAAAAGCATACACCCATCAAGAAGGCACAAAATGCAAGCTAGACATGGCAAGAACAAAGCATAGCATGCACGGATCAACTACAACAAAATCGGCAAAATTGCAAACAAGTTGACAATCTGCCCAGATTCACAAAGTAGCAAAATTAGAGCTCGATTAACTCAAACTAGGGTGATCCATAATTGAAAACAAAGACATGGATGGATAGAGCACTACAATATTAACAAAACATCCTTACTGATCATCCTTAAAAGAGGCACGGATCACTAGGAAACAACATGAACATATGGCAACATGAGTAAACAGCTCCAGGACTTAGTGAAATTACTAAGTCCCTGAAAACAAACTTAGCAAGTGCACCACTTTGCAAGCTTGCACAAGTCACCACATACATCACAAAAATACATGGGTTGCACCTCTGGAAAGATGACAAAAACCCTTAACAAAACACATGTAGAGCATCAGGGCATATCATGCACACATTAATCATGGCAAAAATGACAAAAACCTAAACGGAGTAGCAGATCTGACAATTATCTCAAGTAGCCCTCTTCTAACAGCATTTCGGGCATCAAGATGAGCTCAAATTAAAATGGTGCAATGGAATGAAATGATGTACTCTTTGAGCTGAACATTTTGATATGATATATGCATGAATCGGAGCTACGGATGCAAAGTTACAGCCTAACGAACATGAGCATATGGATCTGGAATCTCGGGACTTAGAGGAAAAAATCACCCTAGGGTTTACTGTTCACGGATCTGGATCTGGCGCACGGATTTCGATGAGCGGCCGGAACTGTAGCTGCGGCGGTCGGCGCTCGCCGGAGACTTGCTGGAGGAGGCCGGAGCCGAGGTGGAGTCAGGCGGCGCTTGCAGGCGGTGGTCGCCGGCGTCGGTTGGTGGCGCGGGCTCGCCGGAGCAACGAAGAAGGCGGCGGGCGGCGGTGGTCCGGCGGGTTGGCGAGGAGGCGCGCGGTGGCCGAGGTGGCGGCGCGGCGAGGGTCA